GAGAAAATGTTTTGAGAAAGTGGCAATTGGTGGGGACCCCTATTTTCCACATGACCTGCTGAAAAATGCTAAGTCAGCCAAGCCCCGAGCAGATGTGTGTGTGTGTGTTTGTTTGTTTGTGTTTGGGAATGAATCTTTATTTATTGTGTAATTGCTTGGGAAAACAAGTAAAAGGCATAGCTCATAATTGTAGTGGAATTTATTTTGACACGAATTGAGAGACCAAGGTTGACATGTTGCAGGCCCTGCTGATGCCAAGCCACCTGCTTTCATTCTAAAATTCCCTGAAACATAACTGGTTTCTAACAAAACAGTACAAATACATAGTGCCTCACGTGAGGATCGAACTCACTACCTTCATATTATGAGACTGACGCTCTACCGACTGAGCTAGCAAGGCTGACCACTTGATTGACCTTGTATGGGTCATGCGGCCAGATAACAGCTTATTAATTTTCTGTGGTTTGTAGTGTCTGTATTTGATCTTGAGACCTTGATTTTTCACCCCAACATGATGGACACATGCCTCTGCACCACCACACCCTGTGACCCACCCAGCTTGACCTACACTGCACCCCCACAACCTATACTCCCATTAGCCCTCTGCCAGTCCTCACTCCCCTACTGCCTCCACTGATATGCATTCTACCACTTTCTCTCCTTCATTTGTTCTGGAGGGCCTCCCACTAACAACAGCCCAAATAATACACCTGTGGCTTACCTTCAGGGAAGACCTAAGAGGTAGGGTGGCTGAATGAGAGGAAGGCCTTTAACCAAGTGTTCATGAAAAAGGAATGACAAAGGCAGAATCCCTTTTTATGTACAGATTTCCCATCCAACATGTGTTGGATTGCAATTTTGCTGAAATTCTAAGCAAAAAGGGTCACTGACTTCTTTGTCATGTCCCACCCCTCATCATGGCACCACCACAACTACCACCACAGGGAACACAGTGGTTGTGCACAACCTGGTCTTGGGCACTGCAATGTGGCCCTTTGCTCATCATCCTGCCACCTGTCATTGGCAATCCTAAGCAAAGAACACAGCACAAAAAGTATATTGGAGGAGAAGGGTATCGATCCCTTTACCTCTCGCATGCTAAGCGAGCGCTCTACCATCTGAGCTACACCCCCGGAACTACTCAGAAATCACTACTCCAAAATAGCGGTGTGAGCTTATCAAAAATATTTTTCTATTTTGGGGCAGCACCAAGAACAAACAGCTCTTCACATGCGGTGTTGATCGTGATTTGCTGCCGGTATGGAACGCAAGCCCAAAGTTCTGATCACTCGCCCCTTGCCGAATAATGAGTTCATCTCGGCACCACTCCAGCAGTTTTGCTGCAAGTTCGAGGTGCGTGTACCCGCACGGAACGTAGCCGCATTTTTGCTCATCGTTGAATGATTATCGTCAGGTGATTTTGGGGCCTACGGAAGACTACATGCCCCGTGAGGAAGTGCTGCATAAGGTCACCGACGTGGACGCCATCATCTGCCACGGCAAGGACAAGGCTGATGCTGAGGTTCCATAGGCATGCCTTATTTATTT